CCAAATTATGCAATTTGTTTCCACTTTATTTTAATGTTACATGAATAGGTACATGCGTTTGTGCTGTGGTAAATAAGTGTTCATGCGAAAATTATCTCTTAAACTACCTTGTGATTGTACTCATCTCAAAACTGAATGCTGTAAATTTAGGATTTAAATCTTTCATAGTGTTGCTTGGGATAAATTGTAAAAAAGGTGTTGGACAAAACGTTTACAACCTAAAATTGCATGAAAAACATGGTAGAAGAAGGAATTTTACCTTTATGACATTCTCTTTCAACATTTTTAAGTGACTTTGTGGTTTGGTGAATGGACTGTTACCACAGTCAAAAGATTCAAAGTAAAAAAAAAGTGACCAAGTTCTAATAAGAATACATAAGTTGAATATGAAAATGCAATTACTTGATTTAAATGTGATTTAATTAAGAGTTAAATAGAGGTTTCATATAAACAAAGTGCTGTAAAATGTTAATAAATGCAAAACCATTATTAAAGAGAAATTAGTTATCATCAATAAGATATTTTGTAGTAGCTGGTCTCTATAAATAATAAACTTGAAAGACTGAATTAGTAGTCACTTTTACACTAGAAGTAAAAACAAAAAAAAAATGTGTGGTTGAGACTAATTTATGTATTTAATAAAAACATATTTAACATAAAAGCAGGTGTTATTTGAAATGTTTTATTTTAATAATCTTTATAAATTGTGGGTACATTTGATCCGAATCTTGCAAATACTATAAAATGCATATGGTTCTATATGGTTAGTATTGGAGTAGAAGCACAAAAGTTTTGAATAAAAATATAGATACCGGAATATTTTGCTTGATTACTTAACTTTGGATGTTTTTGTTGTAGTCTGCTGTTACTATTGTCCTGAAATATTAAAAAAGCTAGACAAAGGTTTGTCCAACTCTTTTGTCAGCTTTGTTAATCTATGCTACTGATATTCTGCATGCAGACATTTTTTACTGGAGATTTTCTCTAAGAACTGTATTCAGTTTCAAATTTCGGCCAGTTTTAGGAAAATACCTCTGTTGTAAAGGTATTTCAAATCCATCCTTTGTAAGATGTAGACAATAAATACATGCTAAAATGTATAGAAAACAAATCGCAAGATATTACACAAAATTATTTAAATTAACTAAAAACATACAAATGAAGTGAATAATACCTACCAACAATTTAAAAAGACCTAAAATAAATAGACTTAAGGGACTGGAGCTCTAAAAAAGGGAGCTATAATTTGTTATGCATCATCTATAAGAAAATTGTCTTCATCTCTTCAATTACCTTTTAAAATAAACAAAACTAAAACAGCACAAAATTGAAAGTGATCTACTTTTCCCGACGTATTTTATGTACATCTGAGATTAATAATTTATTAAATTTAACAAGGCCTGTCTGTAGGGGTGTAGGAGTATTAGAGTACTAATACTTCTACACTATGGAGTATTAGACTACTAGTACAATCCATAACCTACATAGAATACTAGGCTAATGACCTTAGATGTTGAAGCCGTACACTACAAAAAAAAAAAAATTATTAAATTGAAATATTTTATCCTAAAAAATATGGGCATTTTATAATGGAAATGTCATTTAAGAAATGACATTGATTTTTTTTCTTATATTGGTAAACCTGGCGACTACAAGTTGCCACGTTGCCAGATCAATGGCGACTACTATGTGACTACTATTTAGAAAAAAATGGCGTCCAAAATGGACTCCTATGTCGCGACCCCCTTAGATATACCAGCCCTGGGATAAACCTTTAACTGACAGCTGTTGACCAAAGCACACTAGATTTATCAGTAAATGCATGCATATTACTGATTTCAAAGCCAATAAAGATTAGCGTCCGAATATTTATTTGTCGGCAAATTTGATCAAACTTTGTTATGTAGTTTATACAAAATAAAAAAGTATTTCCTTACGATCAGATTTTATGTTAAGTAAAGAGTATGTGACTTTATTTTTCACTCAGGAAAATCGAATTTTTTTTTTTAATAAACGAATATATTTTTTAAATGTTCTTACGTCGTCCGAACATTGTTAGGGCTCGTATAAGTTGGCAATTAGGCGCGCGCGAACTTCGAAACATTGGCCAGGCGCGCCCTTTTTCCACCTAAGTCATAAGATCAGGCGACACTAAAAACCGCGGAAACCTCGGAAGCATTCGGCACTTTGCGGAGACGGTCGGTAGATAGACTTTAGCGGAAATTTTAAATGTTTGCTATTACAGATTTCACGTCAAAAAAATAGAACCTAACCTCAAATTTCAACGACCGTTTGGTTATATTACTTTGTTTACTTATTTACATGAAAACAATTTCTTAATGTTTTTGTGTAATTTCGATACTTTTCATTAAAAAACGTTATATTAACTGTGTACTATGTGTATTGAGAGGACCATACAAACAATTTGTTGATAAACTGGTTCAAATGTTGGTTACAATAGTTGTAATTGATGGTACAGTTTGGCCAGAAAATATGCGTTGAATCAGTTATAAAATTATATTTCATTAAATAAAATCCTTTATTTACACTTCTCATTAAATCTACAATTTCGATCACAACCCATAAGAAGAAACTTATTCGTAAAAATTTTTTCTACAAAAAAAACAAAACAATAATTATCAGCATGTTCCAGGGGTTTTTTAGAAAGTTTATCAAAAATAAAAGACAAGCTATACATACATAGGTTTATATATATTTCATTTAGATAAACCTAGAATAAATAAATGATACTATAAATACATATTTACAATAAGTTTTTATTTAGTACAAAAGCAAGCCCTGTCACTATTGCCACACCATAGAAAAAAGACATCAAAAGCCCATTACAATTTCTTTTTTTAAGAAAAAATTTCATGCTTTTCCACTTTCCTTTTCTGTATCCCTGATCTATTACTTGTTCCATTACTAACTATATTTGACTGTGCACCTTATTAAAAAGTACCAACATATAATATTTAGCTGCATACATGGAAAAATGGTTCCATTACTTTATTATATGCCTCATCATTTAAGTATCTTAAAAAAATGGAGTTTCAATTTGTATCTCTCACTTTGCTTCTCTAGCTATTTTAGTTAAACATTTATTTTCAGATTTCTTCTCTCTAATAAAGTTTTTAATTTCTTCATTATGTCCCCCTTTAAATATCTGGTAGCTTTTCTTCAGATAGTAGTTTGGCAACGTCACCTAAAACATAACATAAGAAATTTACGTGTTTATACATACTGTAGCTTTTATAGCACACTCTATACAGTTACTTTTATAGCGATGAACACATTCCTTACATATTCTACAATATGAAGTTCTGCATTCCGTCGAACATAATTCATTATAAAATATTTTGTAAAAATTGTCACCTGTAGAAGGCTTTACCTGAAATTCCCAAACCTACAACCTCTTATACTTTAAACATTGTTTTTGTAAGATGTGCTTTAATCACATCCTCTTCTGGTAAATATATGAATGTGGTATTTCCATCTATAAAAAACAAATAATTATATAATAAAATATTAGATATTAAAATGAAGTGGATATGTTGGTTAAAATTAGCAAACCTTCAGAATCCTTTGCCACATTTTTCCATCAACCAAATTTTCAATTTCTTAGATTTGTTTTTCCCTTCAGCTGATTTTGTGTTAACTAAATTGTTTTAACTTTCTAGTACCATATTTGTATTTATACCAGCATTAAATCTATAACAGTTTATTAAAAGTTACACAACCTAACTCATTTTCAAAACACAATGGGCAAATAATATGTGATTTCTTAGCATGGGAAACCTCTTGCTGGTTGTGAATATTTGAAAACTCCAAATTGCAGAAAGTACACATTTTGTTATCAAAACCTTGAGTTTGCATACTTAATATTTTTAGCTAAATAAATAAAAAATCGTCACAAAAATAACCAGCTTTCACAGCGATCAAAGACAAACGTCTTGTAAAGTGGGGTTAGTTATTGATTTTTTCTTTTTCCCTCTATAGTCAAATTCAAATTCGCTGCTCCCGCGATAACGGATATTTGCGGCTATTTACCGAGTAACTTCGCAAAGTTCCGAGCGATTCCGAGGTTTCCGCGGTTTTTAGTGTCGTCTCATAAGATCACGCTATGCTCGTTCCACCTACCTACTAACCACCACTTGGCAACTACGCATTTCCTTACCACGAGATTTGGGTTTTTGTTTAGATAAGGGTTTCCATGGCTACAGTTTCTCCATAACATTAAATGATCTATAACTTGGCAACTACGCATTTCCTCACTGCTGGATTTGGGTTTTTGTTTAGTCGTTAGCATGACAACGGTTCCCATGGCAACAGTTTTTTTATAACTGATTTTGAATAAACTAAAATGAACATTAAATGATCTAAAACTTGGCAACTACGCATTTCTTCACTACTAGATTTGGGTTTTTGTTTTTGTTTAGTCGTTGACATGACAGTCGTTTCCATGGCAACATTTTCTTCATAACTGATTTCGGCTAAACTAAAGTGAACATTAAATGATCTATAACTTAGCAACTACGAATTTCCACACTGTCGGATTTGGATTTTTGTTTAGTCGTTAGCATGACAAGCGCTTCCATGAAAACAGTTTTTCCGTAGCTGATTTCGGATAAACTAAAGTGAACATTAAATGATCTATAACTTGGCAACTACGCATTTCCCCATCACGAGATTTGGGATATATTTGGGTGTTTGTTTAGTAGGTACCATGACAAGCGTGCCCATGGCAACATTTTTTGCATAATTGATTTCAGCCAAACGAAATTAAAAAAAAAACGTAATCATCTACAACTTGGCAACTACGTAGATCCTCACCATGAGATTAGGGTTTTTGTTTACTTATAGCCATCACAATTGTTATTATGGCAACAGTTTTTGCATAACAGATTCCGGCTGAACGAAAGTTGAGCCAAGTAAAGTATTGTTACGCAGGTTTTTGGAAACTCAATTTATTTCAACTCTTCAAATTCTTTTTAGCAAAACAAACTAATTTTAAAAAGTAGGAAATTTACCTAATGTTTTTGAACATTTTATAGCTCCAGTATGGATTACATTGAACCCATTTTAGGGTCCAACATCCCTAAATGAAATAAGAGACAAAATAACACAACATGTTTTTTTTATTAATTTCCACATTGTTACAATAAAAAGGTTTTATATGTACATAGAAACTGACAGATCTTGTAACAAGTAGGTACAGTTGTGAAATTAAGAAAATGATAAACGCTTCGTCTGTCACACTTCTGAAAAAAATAGGTCCGAATAGAAAAAATACCGATTCGCGTTGGCCCGCTATCATCGATCACCTTGGTGTAATATCAAACAGTGAATTGGCTTGTGATTACACATAATACCAAAAAATAATTGTACACGCCACTGTGTATGACGTACTGGTATCTTCCGGTATCTTTTTTATTCGGGTTCGGCTTTAAATTGAAAGGATTCAGATACCCTTTTTTATAATTATCTACCTAGGTATATTTATTTGCTTATCATATTGAGAGAAGAAAAAATATTTATCAGAAGTGTGTTATTGAACAAAACAGAATACCTACTTATGCGTTTATCACAACTTTGATTTCATCAACTGCATGATAAATTTACGTTTTACCGGTTAGACAAAATGTGTCGTTAATTTTTACAAAATTTCTCTGGCATGTAGGCAACAAGGAAAAAAGAAAGTTTCATATTTTATTTAAAATTTTTAGTTGGAAGGAAATAATTATATATCTAAATAGATATTAGTATAAATATATTGATTTTAATTTCGATAAATACATAGTTCCCTCTTGCCTTCTTGCCATTCATATACATGTAGATATATTAGAAAAGTTGGTGGGGGAATACAAAAATTTTGTTTATAAATTGCAACTTTTATTGCCTTTTTTGTAATTAGTTAATAATTATAATTATTAAAACTAATATTAAGTACTTTAATTGTGTTGACAGAGGTCCCCCACGAAAAATTCTAAAGGTAAATTCATTGGATAATTTTTTGAGGTGTGTACGAGAGCTTTCTTTTAATAAAATTATATAACAATCTATAAAATCTATAACATGCACTGATCCTATACACTTTTATACTTTTCTATAGTATTTTATGTTTGGCACACCCATTTTTGGAAGTTAAGGGAAAAACAACTTCATAATTCCCTTGAAAGGCACCTGCTGTGAGTTCAGTACTGAATGATGCAAAAAAATTAAATGCATTTTACTACTCGTACTCAAATTTTAAAGGTGCACACAAACGGAAAGGAAAAACTCTAAGTCTTGACCACCATTTTTTTATTGTTATTGAAAACAGAGGGAAAGCGACTAGTTTTGGTCAGTGACCATCATGAGGCCTATAAGAGAGTATGTTGATGAAACGTAATTTGATTATAAGTGAAAAAATGTTTGAACAATTTATGGATTAATGATACATGAGAATATAAAATTTACAAATTAAAATGTGTTAAGACCATCGGAATACTAACTTAGTACTTAAAGATAAAGTTACTAAATTATAAGTTAAATCGTCCAGATTTATTAATTGATTCCAAGGAAAACAAACTTGACAAATATTTCATACATGCTGTGGGTCCCACGTATTAGGAAAAACTGTTCGAAGTTTAGATACACCCTAGAGAAGACAATTATTTACCAATTGATCAACAATTCTTTTAGATAAAATATTTAATGCAGAACGAATTGTAAAATATCTAGAGCCCCTATTAAAATGTTCGTTCAAAATTTCAATTATATTATTTACTGATGGATTTATTAAATCAACATTACCAGATCTACAAAATGTCCACCATTTTTTATACACAACATATACCTGTGTTATTACTTAAAGATATTAGTACTTCGATTGCTGCTTCTAGTAGTGCTCTGTATTTTAGCAATCAAGGAAAACGGTGGAAAAAGTATAATCAAATATTTTTAATTTTGAAACCAATATAGAAAGTTTCTGAACCGACTGAGAGAACTGTTAATCCTTTTTACCATATTATGATTTTCGGAACATTCAGATTGGTCTTACGTGAGCATAAAAGAATCTACAATTTTGCAACGTATATGAGTCAGTAACCAATACAGAAGCCGATCGAGAATCAAGATAGAATTATTGAAAACGTTTATAATTTAGATATTAAATTTTTTAACATAATTAACTCTTGTGTTGGTGAGCCTCAGATTTATATATTTGCCTCTAATGTAAATGCGAAACGTAATAAATATGTGTCTTGGAAACGAGACCTAGGATACATTGCAGTCAGTAGATGCCTCTACAGTAGACTGATAAAAATATTTGTTTATGCTTTTTCCACCGTTTTCCTTGATTGCTAAAGTACACAGTACTACTAGAAGCAGCAATCTAAGTACTAATATCATCATTAAGTAATAACACAGGTATATGTTTTGTATAAAAAATGGTGGACATTTTGTAGTAAATAATATACCTAATTAAAATTTTGAACGGACATTTTAGTAGGGACTATATTCTACTTTAAACACTTCGTTTCGGAATAAATATTTTAATTAAAAGAATTGGTGATCAATTGGCAAATCGTCTTCTCAAGGGTGTTTCTAAACTTCGAACAGTTTTTCCTAATTGATTTTATGTCATATTTAAATTTCAATAAGAAATAAATTAATTATTGTACTTATTCGACGAATCATAAGAGACATCCTCTCACATTTTTTTAAATTTAAATATTTTTTTTTTATTTTTTCCGCTCTCTCGGTGGCTGTTCTTTTTGACACCTTCATCTTACAAAACACTCTACACAAAAACAACCTACACGTATTACACTAAAATGCGTAATGAGGTAGAGGAGAAACGGAGAAGATGACGCAGCCTTAAAGATGACGCAGTGTTAAAGATTACGCACTTAGGTATTTTGGTTATACTATTGCCGCGTTTGAGAATCCACATCGGATGCATCTGAGATGTAAAAAATCTTTGATCACGTGATTCGGTATACGTAAATGTAATGAGACAGATGTGTCTGATGTGAATAAAAAAACGCTTGAAATGTAAAAAATGCATCCGATGTTGATTCTCAAACGCAGCATTTAACTGTATTCTATGTTTATACTCGTAACGCCCTCTTTAAGATACTATTAGTACTTTAAGCCCGTGCCGATCTTCTACGGTACCGTTTAGTATTTAGTAGCCAGGCAAATGCTAAATACGTGTTATTCATGTTATTGGTTTCTACACAAATATTAAAGGTGAGTCGTTATATTTTGGTTTCACTTGATATACGTTGATATCAGATGATCGGGTGGTATTTGTTCTTGATTGGCATGTGTTTATTTGTTCAACATTAGATGTTAAAAATTTTTGAAAAGAAGTTTTAGTTAGATGTGTAATCGGCCAAGTTAACGCAAGTTGCGTCATCTTCGCCGTGTCAGTGTATTATCTTAACATAACGTATTCACATATATATTTTTATTATTTAGTACATATTATGCATTTTGAAGCTTCCGTTTCTTCTTTAGTTATAGGAAGATATACCAGAAAAACGCAGAGAAGATCGTTTTCGGCAGAAGCACTTAATGCAGCCTTGAATGCAGTCGTGGAAGATGGCCGTAAAATTCGTGAAGTTACGAGAGCGTTTGAAATACACGAAGCTACGTTGAGACGAAAACTTTAAATTAAAAATTTAATGAAAGAAGTCAAATCTGAATTGCTTGGTAGAGCCCCAGTGTTTTCACTAGCTCAAGAAAATGAGATTGTGGATCACGTTCTAAATTTGGCAAATTTGTTTTTTGGTGTTACTTCCATAGAACTAAGAACTATGGTTTTCAATTATGCAGAAGCGAACAAAATTAAACACAATTTTAACAAGGACAAACTAATGGCGGGTCCGGACTGGTTCCAAGGTTTTATAAAAAGAAACCCACAAATATCTTTAAGAAAATCCGAATCTACAAGAGTGAATAGGATAACAGGGTTCAATAAAACAGAAGTCAAAAGTTATTTTAAAAACTTACAAGAAGTCCAAGAAAAATATAAAATTCTTTCAGATCGCATTTACAATGTAGATGAAAGCGGTATATCTATGGTTCCAAAAGAATCATCTAAAAGAATTGGACCTAAAGGCATAAAGCAGTTTGAAATAATTTCTTTTTGGGAACGTGTAGAGAACATTACAGTGTTTTGTGCGTTTAGTGCGTTTAGTGCAACTGGAAATTACTTCCCATCATTATTTGTATTTCCTAGAAAGAGAATGAGCCAACAGCTTTAAAAGAAAGGGCCTAGCGGTGCTATTTACACCTCTACAAATACTAGACGGAGCAACGGATCTGCGATTTCTTTATGGCTGAAACATTTAAAAAAAAAAAACTATTGTCAAACCCCGATAATCCGGTGTTACTTATACTAGATAATCACCCAAGTCATATTTCACTTGAAATATATAAATATTGCAGAGAAAATGGGATTGTCATGGTTAGCACACCCCCCCCCCCATACATCCCACAAACTACAACCGCTTGGCGTAACATTTTGCTGCATTGAAAAATGCATCAATCGCCATTGTAATTCATTTTTAAAATCCAAAATCAGTAATTCCGAATATGAAGATAAGATCAGGGCCGACTAGAGGGGGGGTAGCCGGGACTAATTCCCGGGGCCCGGACTCAAATGGGGGCCCGGCAGCTCTATAAGGGGGGCCTGGCAACTGGATTTTGTTTTGTACGAGAAATTCGACACCAGACGAGAGGGGGAAGTTTTAGGCTGGCGACCTTTTTTTTGTAGAAAATTGAATCTATGCAGAAGAGGAAAAGTTTTTGCCGGAGGACCTTTTTTTTGTTTTTAGAAAAAGCAATTCAAGTACAGGAGGAAAAGTTTTTTTTAGAAAATTGAATCCAAGAAGAAAATTAAAAAAAAACACATGGTCGACAAAAAAAACATTCTGAGATACTCACAAGTACCCTGTTGAAAGATGTTTTGGAAATAAAAGAGATAAAGACAAATAAAAAAGTGTCAAAGATGGAAGAAGCCAAGAATATATGTTCAGCGATAATTATTTAACACAATGTCCGATTTTAATGATTTTTTGTTAGAAAGGAGGTACTTCAGAGGAGGTCCCATATAAATTTGGTTAAAATCTAATAATTGGATCCATGAGAAAATCCTCTAACTCTTCTTTTGTTATGTATGTTTAGCGATAATTCTTTACCACCTAGTCCGATTTCTATGATTCTTTTTCTATTAGTAAGGAGATACCTCAGGGCTGGTCCCATATAAATTTGGTTAAGATGATCTGAACGATTTTATTGTCGGTTTTTTAAAATTACTTTTAATATTTGTTATTCCACTATACGACACTGACGAACAAACATTACCGCGAAATTCCCGAAGTAGTCTGACGGGGTTCGACGTTTACCACCTCTTCACCTATCAAAGGCCTGTTCAACTTCTGTCTACACTTTGCATAGAGCGTTGGAGATCTGCCAAAGAAGTGGTAACTTCCTAAAACCTATTGTCGTTTTTTTATTGGAATAATATACTTATGCAATAATAACCATATTATCTTAAACTTTTTAAAAGAATAATAATAAAATAATTATGTCAATGTAAATTAAAAAAATTGTAAATAGTCATTAGCCATTAAAAAAAAATATGTACACCATGGATTCAGATTATTTAGATTGTCCTACAGTGTGCATCTATAGAAATGCTACATTTTTAATCTGTAAATAATTATTTTTGATGTTTTTGTGGTAAAATGTACGTATTTCAGTTTGGTTTAATTAACCACATTTATTTTTCTGCATGATTCAATATGTGAAGACACATAGTGAGTGACAAATCAATCTATATAATAAAAATCTTCAATTGAGTGCTTTATAGTTTATTATAAATTATGTAATTTAATAAATATCACATTTGAAAGGATTATAACTTATAAATATATTGAAAATCCTTTTCACTCTAACTTTTCCATAATTTACAAACACGCTTTAATATACTTCAATTTTTATATTTAAAATTATAATCCTGTCACTTCGACTATTTTTTAACTAATCACCATTGTTTTCACGACATTTATACCTACTCCTTTTAAAAGGTTTGTTAATAGTACCTACCTACCTAATTGCTTATGGGTATACAATTTGGCTAGGTTTACCAAGTAATATATACATATAAAAAATGTAATAAACAATTATTTTAAATGAAAAATAGAAAGAAAACGATTTATTTTAATAATAATAATTCTATTTCAGTCTAATTTGTCGTGAAAACGTGGTTTTGTTAATTACAAAACATTTATATCATTTAAAAGCATATTTTTCAGTGCTTCATGAATCTAAATTTTTAAAACCAATAGGTATTTATTAAAATCAATGTTTTTTAAATTAGCTCATCTATAAAAGTGTCCTATTTAGGGAAATATTTTTTCTTAGTGAATCAGTTTACATCGAAAACACTTATTGATGTATTTTTTTATAGACAAAAGAAACAGGTGTAATATTACAGTAGTTTCTGTGAGAAAATTTCTTTAAACCTAGTTCGTTTACTTGTAGAATGTCATCGTCATTGGAAAAGATATGTTTCTGGTGCAGTTCTCAGTAGTTGTTTCGTTATTAATTTGTTACCAAAAATTCAGTCTTAACATTTAGACATTAGTTTTTCTAAATGTATTTGACCCTAAATGTTTGTTAAGATCAGTAGGTATCCCGAGAAAAGATCTCAGTTAGGCCTAATATTAAAAAAAAACGGATCAAACGAAAATGTGATTATTTTTCAAAATTTATTAATTTAATAAGAAATACGGTTATCCTCATGTTAACTATTACTTTAATGGAAGTATTTATGACACAATAATAAATTATTAATTATTAAATTTTAAATTATGAATTTTATAATTCACAAAAAAAATCATAATTTATTCTAATAACTGTGTTCTATCTCAGATTTCTGGTTTAATTAATTAGTTGTTAGTTTTAGTATTTATCCCTACAGGGTGAGCCACTTTAAAAGTCCTCTCCACTAGGTATATCTTCGTTATTAATTCAAATATCGGAATGATTTTGTTTTGTTTAAATGCTTGGAATTAATTTGTTTCAATAGATTTAATTATTATGTGCCATCATTGCGTACTTTCGGTTTTTGAGAAAATAACTGTAAATTGCAATTTATTTTTAATTTTCAAATGGGGATAATATTACGTTTATTTCGCCAAAAATTTTAATTTTTTAACAAAATTACTTCTTGAAATTATAAGTGGTGCTGTATTCACCTTAAAATAACTTAGACGTTAACGAATATATGCTTAGGATGGGAAAACCTTAAGCATTTAGTATTGATTGATAAACGAACCAAAACAAACTGTTCTGTCTGATATTATAATACGGTCATTGCTTTTTAAATATAATTGTGTTGTTTTATGAAATACAATTCAGAAGTGCGATATACTGCCTTAGAACTCGTGTCGATTTTCTTGACAAACATGGAAAAAAAAGGACGAGTAGTCGAAATGCAGGCATTGTAGCCGAAGACATGGCGAAAATCGAAATCGCGTTCGATCATTGTTTACAAATAGTTATAAAAGTATGAATAATGAGAGTACTTTTCTAAGAAAGCAATTAAAATTTCTTAAAAAAGAAGTTAAAGATCTTCGTCATAATCCATTAAAGTCAGCTGCGATTTGGGTAAGTGACGAACAAAAAATCCCGGTGTTTGACTCCGCGAAAGAGGGCATTATGGTCAAATTGTGGGTGACAAAAGTGGACACTTTAGCGAAAAGGTATAAGTGGAGTAACGAATACATTATTAGGATTATATCAAGCAGAGTTAGAAGACATGCACATGCACGTCAGTGGTACTACGACAACGAACACACCAAAAATGACACTTCATGGATTGAAATGAAAATAGGAATGATGAATATTCTCCGTTTTAGGTATATTAAATTTAATAATTTGACAGTCCAAAATACGAGCAACAAATATGTTTCCTTAAGTGATGTACATGCTTTTAAAAATATAAGATTGCGATTTACTGTTATTTATGAAAAACCCGAATAATTGAAACTTTTAGAAGAACTTAATAATCTCAATCTTTCAAACAAACAAAAATTATTCTGTTATCTCAATTAATAACGAAGATACGTAGGGTGGATCTTTTAAGTTGCTAATCCTATACATAAAAAGAAGTCGCAGATAAGTTCAATCAGTTATGCACAAAGTAACATACAAAGTTTTATGTTCGACTGCTAAAATTCCTTAATATAAACAAGTTTCCTTAAGGTGCGTTCTCATCGAACCAACACTGTCGATCAACTTTCTCTGAGTGTACGCGACCATCGACGGTGTCGATCGACAAAGTAAATCGATCGACATGTCGATTTGTTTTCCATCGCCTGTCGGTAAACATGAAAGAGCAGTCGATCGACTTAGTGTGTGGACGTGTTTTCGACATTCGATAAACTATTAGTACTGAGTACTAAGTACTCAGTAACGTCTTGCCTTTTTGACATTGTAGTTGTGTTTTCGTTGGAATAATGGAATGGGAATAAGATAAAGTCATAGCCTTTATTGAGGCATACAAACTGAGAAGAAATCTATAGGATTCTAAAAACAAAAACTATAAGAGCAGAAACTTGAGTCAAGATGCCACCATTACACCTGTATTCAAGGCTCAATATGTTGACGTTATCTTTTTTTAAAACTTCTATCAAATTACTAGCGTTGTATCTAGTTCTATTTGGAAGACTTGGTCGGACCCAAATTTTTTTTTTGGCGTGTAAGTTTTCTTTTTTTAGTCGCGATAATAATATATGCGGCACAAGCAACTATAATGTCATCTTCGTCAAACATGTTAATTTCGACTGATCGACAAACATTTCTGTTAACTCTGGTGTGGACAGATGCAGTTTTGCAGACTTGTTGATCAACAATGTCGATAGACAGAGTCGATCGGCAGTATTGATTCGGTGAGGACGCATCTTTATAGTTACATTAAAAAAAAACAAAAGTATAAAATATTATTTATTGTAAACTAAAAAGTATACTAGATAATACCTAATATAGTATGGGGTAGAAGATAATAAAAGAAAATAAACTCTACGGCTTTATCGGGACTACTGCTAATTTTAAGATAATGAACACAGTTATTAGAATATTTTTAGAACATCAATACTTTCTGGCATGTATTGGGCTCACGGCAGATCTTTGTGTCAAATCACAAAATAATTTTATCAAAAGGATTTTTATTAGTTGGAAAATGGTATCAAAAAAGAGATATGGTTTTTATCCCGTGCTACATTGACGCATGATAAGTGTAGTGTATAATATCAAAGATATTCAGTCAAACGTTTCTAAAGATACTACCCATGATATTATAACTTCTCAAACTCTATCTCAACCCATTTTAAGTATTGGTACAAAAGAGTAGATTAATATAGATTTCATATTTTCACAATAAAAGAATTATTCAGATGAGCTCAAGTCACTAAACATATCTACAGTACTTTCGTGTTATTTTATTATGGAGGTGGTATTAATTAGACCTTCTCACAATAAAAAAATTCGTCTCTATGCATTCTTTATTTGAAAGTGTAGTTAGAAAATAAGTATATCTCACTTATTGTGAAAATACAAAAAAAGATATTTCAGAAAAAAACAATACGCACTTCAAACCGACCATCTAGAGATCTCAAATTTGCCCAGCACCTTCTAAAATAGGTGTAAACCTGTCTCATACATTTATCTGAAACGCTTCTCTGCTCAACTTCGACATACCCCTGAGCGGTTTGTGGCCCTTTTCGTACTCAGATTCGCTTAGATTCCTAGTGGATAAATCCGAAAATCTTGAAGGCGGATGAATCCGTTCGTTGAAACTCGGTGCATGTGAAATACTAAAAGTGGTCTCTTCGTTATGGCTGGAATAGCCACTGCTGCTTCTTACGTGTCTTTTGTTTATTGGAGTGGCCTTTAATTTGCCTTTACGTGTTTGGTAAGGCTTTCTTCCAACGCTGCCGGATGGAGGCGATGTTTCAGATGATGACGAGGATCCTTCAGCACCTCCTGAAATCAATACACTAGTTATACAAATGAACAATTTTTTTTTCTATTTTTTAAACCCCCTGCTATAGCCTTCGTCCGACTCTGGGAACCTCTATTGCTAAAGTGTGGCAGCACTGTATGCTAGAAGATTAGACGATTGTTCGTTTATAATTAACCTATCCCATCCAACATTAGTGCTGAAGTGTGGGATCGTCGCAAACAGATATTTTAGATACATCTAAATATATTTGTTGAATGTTAGGATTATGTAATAAATTAAAACATACCTCTCATTCTATGGCTGAACGACATCATTTCTTGGCTAGTCGCCCTTCCATCGCCCTCAGAATCCGATCCGAGGGTGTCGTACTCTGAAATAGGCAGGTGTAGAGTTAATATCTTCTTCACCTCTGAGTCAGTGCTGCCCAGGTTATCAGACTCTGAAATATAATGGACTGTTGCTGTGGATCATTGGTGCATCAATGCAACGAGTTACGCTTTACTTTACATAGTGCTTACTTAGTTTTTTTTGTGAAATTATAACTATAATAATGTCGAAGAGTGAGCAGCAGTGGCTCTATTGCAGTTAAGCTATACTACTTCTAAACAAGGAAGGAGTGTTAAAAATAAAATATAAAATGTGAGTAATTAGGTAGGTACAATGTGCTAGCTCGTGACGTTGAGGAATAGATGCAAGTTCTTGTTTTTTTTTATACCAGTAAATCAATTAGGTGATTAGTGAATTATATTTTAAGACTATGGTGTATTCTCAGTACGGGTCGTCCCATTACGGGCCGGCAATAAAAACTACCTAAACCGTGTCACTAGATATGGGTCGCAACAGTTTCAATTTAAATTTGTTTTACAGCTATAAATAATAATTGCCACATTTTAATAAATAAATAAATGTCTACAACGGTTACTAGGACTTTTATTTATCAATTGTGTAATGGAAATGGAAAAGGCTGAAAGTGCCACAAAGTAAAATTTTCAGTACTCAATAAAAACTTCATAAAACTTATACTGTATCCTTTAAAAATCAATTAAATTCATTAAAAATGCAAAATATATTTTTATTATTTTTTCAAGAGTTTTTTTTATTGTACATATATAATTTGATTTTGCATGTGAAAAGCTGAATCTCTGTAACTGCCATACCTTGTTAGTTAAAAGGCTGGAAGTCCAGTGCTCATTACACGTAAAGGATGAATGTTCATAGTGGTTTAAAAAAATACAAATAAATATTACAAAAAATAAACTTATATTTTAAATAAAAAAAACTCACAATCATATACATATTGCCTCTCTCTTTCTTCTCTCCTATCCCCCACCTTCTCCTTCCAGTAGTCCTCTAGAAGTCGTCTTCTGCTTCCTCCTGATTGTCGTCTTCTTCTTGCTCCTCCACCGCAGACTGCTGAGGTCCATGAACAATGACCCTGTAGAATGCCTTGTCTTCTTCTTTTTCCAGGTGTTCTATCATTCCCTCCAGATCCTTTTTCATTTCTTGAAATATCTTGCATTTGAACTGAATTTTAGGTAACTCATCCACATCTTCAAGATTTGCATTTTTCTTTAAACCATCTACCTTGTCCCAAGTTACCATATTGTCACTTTACTTTGCCAAAACTGATGCCACTTTTACAATGCCAGGATTCTTGTGCGAAATACGAAAATGTGAAATTTTACTGATTCCAAGGTTTTTAGTGTTAAGGTACTTCTTACCGGTCGCAGTTCATGTAACTTTACCAAGTAAATTACTGCCATTAGGAGGAACTGGTTCTTTTTGTGTGTTCCACAGTTGTCACATCATAAAACTAACCTGCTTCTTGTTAACAAGGCTTCAGAAGTGACAATCTTAAAGAAGCAAGATGATATCTCATTGGTTCCATGGTTACTCACATGAATTGCCAAGTTGTAACATGAGAGCTGCCGGCAGTAAAAAATGTCACTGTGTGAGCATTGTTACAAATATAACTTGTTGCAAGTCCATACATAAGCAGTTATTATTACTACTTCGAAGTTGTGATGATACAATGTCTTCCTTCATACACGCTTGTGCTTTTTCTGCTTTTCTATGGTGAAACTCTTGCTTTACTTTTATGGCATTTCTGGCATTTTCACTGGCAGCTGCTTGAGTTTGGATTTTAAACACGCCACATTTCTTACAAGTGTCTGTTGCTAAACATTTGAATTTTAGTTTGGGAAAGTCTTGTTGAAAAACTTGAGCATAGCTTTTGTAAGTTACTTTAGTTGTTGGATTTTGGGCTTTGAGAGATAAAAACATACGGTTTTTGTTTAGGTCCGGAGATAGAAACTCATTTGTTGTTCTTTTACGGGAATAGTGGCTTTCATACCTGGGTAACGAATTAATTAGTTGCCGAACCAGATTTCGATTATTTTCTGTGAACATAATTTTATGTTCATGTGAATGTGGATTATGATCTGTAGTATCTTTGTAAACCAAACAGCGCTGTTTTTTTTTGTTTGAAGAGTTTGTAGTTTCCTGGGAGTTACTCCAAAAATCTGACGAAATCTTTTACTACAAACTTGAACATTTTTACCCGAACCATCTGGCACACTGTAAGTAAAACTGCAAGAACGCCTACTTTCCTCTGGATCATCCTAAATTCCATTACGCCTACGGCCGAAAGGTACAAATTGCATATGGTTTAGTAAGTAGGTACCTTGGTTTTGTTCATTAACTTTGTAAAAATCCATGAACAGTAACTGTTTTTGGTCATAAGTCAAGTTTTTACAAAAGTAATTGCATGAGCAAGTGGCGACATCAGGGGGGTAGGTTTACCTGGTACGTTTTTTCCTTTACTAGTGGTCCTTTTTCTCGAGCTTTTCTCCTTTATTTTCGAAGGCGGACTTTGTTCGGCGGAGTGGTTTGATTTTCACTCATTTTGAAATCACAGCAAATGTAAACTTTTCAAAAAACACACTATAACAGCAAAAGTGCACAAACTATTCGCAGTATGCGAAAACGCAGGAACTACGCAACACTTGTTATTCGCACGCGCCAAAAGCAACTACTACAATGGAAAGGCACATTCATCATGGCGGGTGGCACTTTCAGCCTTTTCCACTGACGGCCAGCGGGCGCTTTCACGGTGCTGTTCCTTGCGACTGCTCTAGGAACTAGTAGGAATTTTTTTAGCACTTTCAACCTTCTCTAGGTTATTGGCGATATCGCTTACAACACATTCCATGCAAAAATTTTTTTGGCACTTTCAGCCTTTTCCATTTCCCCTACACAATTATTAGGTTCAATTCTATTCTAAATAAATATATTTTGTAGTTCTAAAAACAACGGTTGTTTTTAATGAATTAACGTCAGCATTTTAGAAATCAATTGTATTAGACAACTGAAGTAGAGCATATTCTGATCTTCCCGTAATTTAAATATATTGTTCAATCTTCTGTCTTGATCACAGAAATAATCTTGGAGCACGTTTTTTTTTTTTGGAGATATATTGTGTTCGATCCTATGTTGAATTATATCGTAAGGTATTGAATCGTTCTCTAAAGCTTGAATCAATCGAATTATATTTAAATTCGATTTTTCAATTGTCTTACTGAGGCGACTATGCTAGGATTCGCAAATATTTGTTGTTCTGTAACGTTTTCCCTAACAAATTCACATGTTTTCCATCGGGACGAAGGGACATCAGAATAAGTAATGAGTAATAACGTCAAACTCACAAGTGTTTAACCATCTTAAGCCACCTACATCAGTTTGAATGTCGGCGAAGAATCTAATATAGCTGAATGCGAAGAATTAACTAAACGAGGGATATGAGGAGTAATTTGCCTATCCCCTAGAAGCTCAAAAAAAATATTGAGAGAGATGAAGAGTATTTGAATCTATAACGCCTTGAAATCAAAGTCCATGTATTTTATCATGGTGGGAGAACACACACCAATACCGTATTTGCTAGCAACGCAGTGGGCAATATCACACAATTAGGGTCCAAAAATTAAAAAATGCAATTACTTTATATTCCAAAATTTTCATTATTTATTTAGTCTCTGATAACCAGCGCACCTATTGAAATTCAAAATAATGTGACCAGTTTACTATTATCCAAGATAAAGTTCGTTAAATTCGGATACGTATAACTTGTCAGTACTTGTATACTATTTAGTTGCGAATCTGCCGTGTATTTGAAACAATCTCTCTCGAAGTTGTGAGTGGCGCCTGCAAGTTTTCTTTGGCGAATATGCAACTTTGTGGTAAGTATTCACTAAAATATTTTTGTTCAGTTTTTCTGAAAAACCTGACATGGTAAAAAAAATTGTAATTTTTCTATATGCGAAATACTGCATTTATGTTTGTTTTTAATACTTTGTTGGGTCTTTTAGTACTTAAATCCGTATGACCCGGTAATGATTTTTGTATTATCGTATTGTTAAGCGTATTTTCTGGTATTTACAAAAAAATTAGCTGCGAAGGTCTGCGAACTCATTCTTACCGATTTTTTTTAGATACGATGACGATAACGCGCAGGGAGCTACTTGAAGCGTAATGAAAATCGGGCTGCTGATCGAAACTCAGCCGTTTTAAATTATGTCTGTGAGAAAATTGGACGACACGTTTATGAAAACAGTGAAAAATACAGGAACGTTAAAAAAACTGTTCAAAATCTATGTAGCAAGTTTGCGGAAAAATGGACAAGTTCGAGTCGTAATAGAGACGTGTTTGAAAGTCGATATAAGGAATGGCTCGACGCTACCCACAAGCTTCAAATACAAAAAGAGGCAGCTCTACCAGCAGAAGCAGTTGCTAGTCCATCAGGAGTTGGGTGACCTAAAAAAAGCTTTGTAGATTCGAGTGAACATTCAAAGCTTTCTAAAGTGTCGGCACTCATACAGCAAAATACTGAGGAAGAATTAATTCTCGCTACTCGTGTCAGCCTGTATAAGTCTGGTAGACGAAATGCTGCACGAGTTCTACGAGATTTATCAGCTTCACCAACCAGGGCAGCTAAGATTAAGAAAACTTTGTCTAGTCCTGTAAAAACTGCAGTGGCCTATACACCAAACGAAGCTTTGGCTCTTTATGTTGATGGAGGGTTTACGAAAACGTCTTATATACTCATGCAGTCAGGTGCAAAAAGTTGACACGCAAACATATATCCTAAGTACGATATGTTAAGAGAAGTTAAAAAGAAGTGCTACCCTGATGAAGCTTCTATACCTGTAACAGATGTTTCTGCCGAAGTTAAATTGTAAAGTCTCGTCGATCACACTGTTCGAAGAATTGTCGAAGTTCAAAAAGATGTGATTTTACAAATATTCAGAGATAATTCGGAAAACGTCACAATGATATATAAATGGGGCTGAAATGGAAGTGCCGACCACGCCACATATAGACAGGAATTTACAAATAGCGAAGAAAGAAAAACAGACGAATATATGTATGCCATCTGTCTAGTTCCCATAGAGCTAAATGTGAATAGCAACATGGTATGGCAAAATCCACGCTCATCATCATCCAGGTTTTGTCGACCGATTAAACTGTTGTTCGACAAAGAGAGTACACCACTAATAAAAAAGGAAATCGAGAGTGTCAAGGAACAGATAGAAAATATATTTCCAACAAGAATAGAGGAGTTTAATATGAACATCAACCACAAATGCTGCTTGATAATGATTGACGGTAAGACATTCAGTGCAATTTCAGAATCATCGTCACAGTCATGGGGGATCTGTGGAGCTACGTCAAAAATAATGAATGATGTTAAAAAGCTAAGTACTTTGAAACCAAATGATAGTTTATATGAATACGGGCTTTCGACACTGCACGCTTGGATTAGATGCTTCGAGTGCATATTACATATTTCATATGGACTTGACTGCAAAAAGTGGCAAATTCGCAGCACGGAAGACAGCTGCTCATGGAAGAAAGGAAGAAGAAAATTATAGACGATATAAAACAAAAGATGAATCTTCTTGTAGATATACCAAAATCAGGTTATGGAACTACCAACGATGGAAACACAGCCAGACTGTTTTTCCAAAACCCAGGTCTAGCAGCATCTATTACAGGAGCTAATTCATCGATTTGGTATTATCTTAAAGACAATGGCTTGTGGTTACGCAGTCAACGTTGAAGCTTTTAAGAAATATGCGCACGAAACAGTTGCAATGTACATAGACCAATATTCATGGTACAACATGCCGTCTAGCGTCCACAAAATTTTATGGCACGGTGCGGACATAATAAAAGCTGCTGTGTTGCCCATTGGCATGCTATCAGAAGAAGCAATGGAATGTAGAAATAAAGATTTTCGAAACTACAGAGAATTTTACACCCGAAAAATGTCCCGCAAAAATACCATGCGTGACTTATTTAATACCTTGCTTTATTCCTCAGATACCGTAATTTCTTCTATTTCCAGAACAACGTCAATTCAGCAGCGTAGATCGGAGACTCTGAATGTAGAAATTAGGAAGTTGCTTTGTGATCTCAAGTTACCAGAGCCACATCATTCTGATACGTCCGGCATCAAGCTCTGATAGCGAAAGCTAAACCTACTCGAGGTCATATGACATATTTTGGTACGCTTTTATGTTGCTAACTGTATTTTTTTAAATTCATATTTTATTATTCTCTGTTTACCTGTAGTTTTTGGAATCCGAATAAACTCTATTTTTCTTTCGTTTTTGTACCTAGTTTAAGTTGTAGATAAAAAGGCTTTTTTTTACGTTATATTTAAATCTTCAGTAGTATATTTTCTGTATTTTAGTACGCTGATTGATTTCAACACAAAAAATGTATATATAATGCTTTAGAGTAATAAATAAATTAACACACAATTTTCGGACGCTAGATCGGTCATATCACCCACGGTGCAACGGTGACAAATTTCCACATCTACAATTAGGCATTTTCAGAAACTTACTATAGATTACCAATCCCAAAACTAACAACGATTAAGGCAAATCATTTTTCAAAAAGTATCAGAGAATTTGACGCATAGTTAAATATGTTAAAAAATTGACGAACAGAGGATTTGGCCGGCAGAGAATTTAACCGACAGAGAATTTGATCGACTGCTATCCAAACATCACTCCAACCACTTAGGCGAATACTTCGTGCCATTAACGATCAAGAGCCTCTAGTAGCAATTTAACTACTAAAATAAATGTTACAACCTAAATCACTTTACCAAATATCAAGAATTCATTCTCAAAACTTATGTAATATGAATATGTTACTCAATAAAAATGCTTTGAAACATGGAGTTATGAGTAGCTTTTGATTTTTAAAGTTGTTGAATCAAAATCGTTTGCAGAACATTTGCGTTTGGTAAGATATCAGCTGAATATCCACTTTAAGGAAACCAAATAGCATTTACGGATTTTGGCCAAGAATTTCACAAGCTACTTTCAACAATATATTTGGATCGAACAGTCACTCTAGTTTGCCAGAAATAAACGAATTATTCCTATCATTGACAAAAAGTCAAAGAAATTGGTGAATTGTTAAAACTATGTATTTATACTGTAGACAATGGAAATTTTACTAAATAATTAAATTCTCTTCTTTTTATAAGTAAATATAATGATCTATAATATTATATATAGTAACATAGCTTTTCTCAGCTTATTTATAAATATTAGGGAACCTACTCCTTTTCAATGTTTTACCTTGACTTTCAGAATGCGGATCTCTCAGTCTTCCTCCTTTTCTTCTAACTTTAGAATACTCTGGTTCTTTACTCTGTAACAAAAAATACTAAATTATCTACTAATCTTGCAGAACTACTACTCGCTACTGTTAGATATTTTATCGTTAATTAACTTTAAATCGTTTTTTGCAATATTGATGTTTCTGTTGTAATATATTTTTTTATTTACGAGTTCACTGACTTATTTATTGTTATAATTAAGTGATTACAAGTTATATACAAGTGTGTCTACTGTTTGTAATTTATTTGCTTTTGGTGTGGGTTTGAGGTATTACGTTGGCTTCAAAATTTCAAAATTTCAAATTTCAAATTTCAAATTTCAAATTTCAAATTTCAAATTTCAAATTTGAAATTTGAAATTTGAAATTTCAAATTTCAAATTTCAAATTTCAAATTTCAAATTTCAAATTTCAAATTTCAAATTTCAAATTTCAAATTTCAAATTTCAAATTTCAAATTTCAAATTTCAAATTTCAAATTTCAAATTTCAAATTTCAAATTTCAAATTTCAAATTTCAAATTTCAAATTTCAAATTTCAAATTTCAATTTTCAAATTTCAAATTTCAAATTTCAAATTTCAAATTTCAAATTTCAAATTTCAAATTTCAAATTTCAAATTTCAAAATTTCAAATTTCAAAATTTCAAAATTTCAAAATTTCAAAATTTCAAAATTTCAAAATTTCAAAATTTCAAAATTTCAAAATTTCAAAATTTCAAAATTTCAAAATTTCAAAATTTCAAAATTTCAAAATTTCAAAATTTCAAAATTTCAAAATTTCAAAATTTCAAAATTTCAAAATTTCAAAATTTCAAAATTTCAAAATTTCAAAATTTCAAAATTTCAAAATTTCAAAATTTCAAAATTTCAAAATTTCAAAATTTCAAAATTTCAAAATTTCAAAATTTCAAAATTTCAAAATTTCAAAATTTCAAAATTTCAAAATTTCAAAATTTCAAAATTTCAAAATTTCAAAATTTCAAAATTTCAAAATTTCAAAATTTCAAAATTTCAAAATTTCAAAATTTCAAAATTTCAAAATTTCAAAATTTCAAAATTTCAAATTTTCAAATTTTCAAAATTTCAAAATTTCAAAATTTCAAAATTTCAAAATTTCAAAATTTCAAAATTTCAAAATTTCAAAACTTCAAAATTTCAAAATTTCAAAATTTCAAAATTTCAAAATTTCAAAATTTCAAAATTTCAAAATTTCAAAATTTCAAAATTTCAAAATTTCAAAATTTCAAAATTTCAAAATTTCAAAATTTCAAAATTTCAAAATTTCAAAATTTCAAAATTTCAAAATTTCAAAATTTCAAAATTTCAAAATTTCAAAATTTCAAAATTTCAAAATTAATTTCAAAATTTCAAAATTTCAAAATTTCAAAATTTCAAAATTTCAAAATTTCAAAATTTCAAAATTTCAAAATTTCAAAATTTCAAAATTTCAAAATTTCAAAATTTCAAAATTTCAAAATTTCAAAATTTCAAAATTTCAAAATTTCAAAATTTCAAAATTTCAAAATTTCAAAATTTCAAAATTTCAAAATTTCAAAATTTCAAAATTTCAAAATTTCAAAATTTCAAAATTTCAAAATTTCAAAATTTCAAAATTTCAAAATTTCAAAATTTCAAAATTTCAAAATTTCAAAATTTCAAAATTTCAAAATTTCAAAATTTCAAAATTTCAAAATTTCAAAATTTCAAAATTTCAAAATTTCAAAATTTCAAAATTTCAAAATTTCAAAATTTCAAAATTTCAAAATTTCAAAATTTCAAAATTTCAAAATTTCAAAATTTCAAAATTTTGAAATAAATTTGAAATTTTGAAATAAATTTGAAATTTTGCAATTTTGAAATTTCAAAATTTCAAAATTTCAAAATTTCAAAATTTCAAAATTTCAAAATTTCAAAATTTCAAAATTTCAAAATTTCAAAATTTCAAAATTTCAAAATTTCAAAATTTCAAAATTTCAAAATTTCAAAATTTCAAAATTTCAAAATTTCAAAATTTCAAAATTGCAAAATTTCAAATTTATTTCAAAATTTCAAATTTATTTCAAAATTTTAAAATTAATTTAAAATAAAGAGCATCCGCCTCTGTATGCGAATATCTCGATAACAAATCACTTTATTGATTCTAACAAAAGTACCTCCATAAGGTAAACCGACCAGCTTCGACTCTCTGCCAGTAATCGACATCATTATTTTTTGTCTAATTTTTAAGGAACCTACAATATCTTTTTTGAAATTACCGCGTAAATATATTACCAAATGCATTTGGCAACACTACCTAAACACTGCTGCTAATCCGCGCTCTCATTCTTAAATAACATGGCAGTTTTTGAGACGACAACGTTAAGAAGTGCAGTGTTGTTGTGTAATAACTAGAAGCACAAAATGTAAGTAGTAGAATTCTTTTTTTTATTGTGTCCTTAGGTTTTAATATATGGGTATCCAATTTGGATAGTGTAGATAGCATGTTGGTGGTTCGAGCCCCCAAACTTTTAATTTTTTTTTTTCTTAAAAAAAAAGGAAAAATATTATTGTTTTCTTATTTCACAGTCTTGGTAATTTAAAATGTTTAGTTTTTAAAAAGTATATACTTATTCAATGCATAGTGGCGCATAACGACGTTCAATCATTTTTATGTTGGGCGGCAACTAAACCCCGGAAAAAGTGTCTGCCTTTTTGGAATTAATTTTTTTTATATTTAATTAAGACGCTATTAAAATTTCAGCGTAAATCAAACACTTCAAATCATATTTTAAAAAAATAAACTTTGGGGTTGATTTATTAATTATAAACCCTCTCAAAAGTGTCTGCCTAAATTACTAGTATTTTTAGAATTACCTAAACTTTCAATTGTTGTTTGTTGGTCTCTGAATCAAACACTTTTTTTTGGGTCATATTTTACGACGCCTTTCTATTATGCACAGTACCTGGTGTCCCGGGATGGGTCTAGCCAACACAGGTATATCTGCTTTTCCATCCAAATGATTTCAAATTACAAAATTTCAAAGTGCAAACACTTAATGAAATTTGTGTTACTAGCTCTTGGACTAGAACTAGCGCATTGATTTTTATTTTATTTTTCAGATAATGGCCCCAAAAAAAAATAATACTGCAGAAGCAATGGCTCAGGCGCTTCAATCTGTCAATCTATAGCTAGTGGTGTACCAGTAGCTGTAGTTGCAAAACAGACTGGCATACCAAGAACGTCTTTAATATATAAATCGACGGGAAAATCTCCCAAAGTATGTACTATGAGACTTTCAACCATTTTAACAACACAAGAGGAAACGTTTTTAAAACAATGGATTCTTTTACTTCAGCAGCAATACTTTTCCGTGACTAAAATAATGTTAATGGAGAGCGTAAAGAAAATAATTTTGCTAGAAGGCAGAACTACTCCATTTAAAAACAACCGTTCTGGAGTCAAATGGTTTAAATCGTTTCTTCGTAGACACCCAGATATTTCCCCAAGGGTAGCACAAAATTTGACTCCAGCAAGGGAATGTGTGACGGGACAACATATTAGAAATAGGTTTCAAAAAATAATAGAATATCTACTATCTAAAGATCTTTTAGAAGTGGCTAATGACCCCAAAAGAGTTTTCAATGCTGACGAAAGTGCATTTTATTTAAACCCCAAAGGTAACAAGGTCCTTGCACGTAAAGGTGACAAAAATATATACTCAGTTGGCGGGAATGAGAATGAAAATCTTACAGTCTTGGTGACAGCCAATGCTGAAGGTAAAATTGTACCACCCATGGTGGTGTTCACTTACACTAGGGTACCAGGTTATATATCTGCCAGCATTCCTCCTTCCTGGGCAATAGACAATTCAGAAAATGAATGGATGTGCAGCTCAACTTTTTATGAATATGGTACTAACATATTCGTCCAATGGCTTGATAAAGAAAAAATTGGAAGGCCTAAAATATTTTATGTTGATGGCCACGTGTCTCATTTGACGTTACACTTATAAAATTTTTGCACTCAGAACAGAATTAAATTAATATCCCTTTTTCCTAACTCAACCCATCTTCTTCAGCCTATGGACGTAGCTGTCTTCAGACCATTGAAAAATACATGGAGAAACGAAGCACAAAAGTGGAGATCTGAAAATGGGGGACTAAGATTACAAAAACAATACTTTGGACTAGTTTTTGCTAATCTATTAACAATACCACAGTTCAAAATGGATTTCGTGTCTCAGGGCTTTGCCCATTTGAGGTAGAAAACGTTATATTTCAGAAGATAGTTCAAACACACGCAAATACAACATATTTCAACAACGAAACAAAAATTAACCCGGAACTGTTTATAAAAAAAACTAGAAGCCTATATTCCTGTGGACACCTTAAAAACCTTTAGAAACCTTTTTAGAAAAAGACAGATATTTCAGTGGAAAGATAATACCTTATTTATTATTTGAAAAAAGGTAAAGATAGAATTATCAGAGAATAGAGAAAACAACAAAAAAGAAAATGCACAAGATAGACAAGAAGACAATGTAGTTCCAATAACCTCCAACTCACATAAAACCGAAAACAAAAATGAACAAACAACACTTAAAGATTTGACACAACAGGCCAATAATAATGTTACACCAGACAGCAAAAACAAGAAAGTACCCTCTCCTTTAAACAATATACCTACTCCATTTAAGATGGCCCTTTTCTGGCCAGAGGCATCCACGTCAACTAATAAAAGAAAGTTTAAGGAAAAAATACTATCCGTTGTAACATCACAAGCGTGGAGAGATTATAAAAGTAAGAAAGAAACTGATGAAAAGAAAACTTGAGGAAAAATAACAAAGAAAATTAAAAAGGGAAGAAAGCAAAAAACAGAAAATTGAGAAAAAGAAAAAACATTTGAACCAGAAACGTCCTCTGAGGAAGAGTGGGAAGAGAGCGAAGGTAGTTCTGTTGATGTAGACATTTTTAAGAAAAGCGAAAACTTTTGTGATATAGATGCTGTTGAAAGCCTATCTATTGGAGATTACGTTTTGGTAAAATTTGTTGGAGGTAAACGTAATGCGACATCATATAGATATGCATGCATGATACACACATTATTTGATGATAATGAGATAGAAGTAATGTCTCTGAAGCTATTAAACAAAGAAGATAAAACTCTTTTCAGAATTGACGAAAATTACATATCTACAGTAAATAAAAGAGCTTTATTGGGAAAACTACCTTCTCCAGCTATACTTACCTCTGGAGACAGAATCAAATATAAGTTTGAAAAACCTGTTGACGTTTATGAAGCTTCATAACTATGTAATATCTAGTGAATATGTATTTTTCCAGATATACTTTGGTTTTTTATTTTTAAGTTTTGGTTTCTAGAATGCTCTTGATTATTACAATGATTTTGTTAATGAGAATTTCAGTTAATAAGTTTTGATTATAATGTATGGATACTTTAATATCTTAAGTAGGTAACCTACCTATTTAATAAATACATAATTTTAAAGCAGTCATTATATACAATAATTTTTATTTAGCTAATTCCAATCTCGTAAAGTGTCAATACCTGAAAACCGTATTTATTGTTGCTAAAACAGTTTTTGGTTATTCATATAAACCCCCATACATCTTTAAGTGGACATGAAAGAGGTCTGAAGTTTACGTATTAGTCTATATTTATTTTTAATTAAAAAAATGCCCTAATTGTGTCGAAGGCTGGTATGTTTACCTTAATTTATGTAAAAAACATAAAAAAAAAATTAAAATTATAGTCCAAATAAGTTTTTGGACGTTTGTAAAGGCAATTAATTTGCTTTCTTGCGCGGCGACTGAGGTCATAATACTTTTGATTTGCTTCAGTTTTCTTAAAATGGAATTTTAAAAAGTTGTATACTTGAAAATATAAAAAAATATTGGAAAATTATTTACAATTGAACAGTAAGTCAAAATACAAGAAAAAATTAACTATTAAATAAGAATCATTGTTTTTATTATTCTCTGTTCTAGTACTTTTGTTTTTCAATTATGAAAATAGAATTACTTATAGTTTATGTTTAAAATAATTCACTTACGTTTACAGGAATAAAATTATCTGCATCAACTTAAGACCTACAAATCAGCCTTTCGAAATAAAAAATTCTTTTAATTATTACCGATTGTAAAGGGTTAAAGTTAATTAATTAAAATATCAACATTTTTAGTAGTTCATTAGATTATCATTTAATGTGTTAGGTGTATCTTACTTATTACTGATTTTAGCTTTATCAACAGGTACCAGGTATTGCTTTGAATTTATGAATGAAAAATGGAAGAGAAAGAAAACAAAAAAGTCTCATTCCGAATAAAATATAACCACTGATGAACCAATGAGAAAAGAAACTTACATGTCCTAACTTAAAATTATCAATAGGTGGAGGTTTAACATCATGATAAACAAAAGAGCCGCGTACCGAGTGGTACGGCCCGCTGTACACATTTCCACTGTAAGAACTTTCACTGTAAGTATTCTTCGACAGCTGAAAAGTTGCATATGGACAAATGTCTTCTATGTAGTCAGCAGATTCAGCTTTGTAATTGTCTTCCACTGCTAATGCCTGCTGACCCCGACCAACACGGACTGCTAGGTACTGCTGGTCTCTGTTTTGCTTGTTCTGGATTTGAGCCATTGAAGGAGATTCGGCCATGGATCTGGTTTGTTCGTCTCTTCTAAAATCTGTAATTAAAAAAATATATATTGAAGCAACATTCCAGATGCCTTAAATCAACTGCTAATTAAAAAACCATATCTAAATTCTTGGAAAATCCACAGATGTTGTGGTTAATTTTAAAATTTATTAGTTATCAAATATAGGTAATGTCTTTACAATAATTCTCGCTAAATAACATTGACGTAATGGCTTTAGTGCCAAACTACCCTTTGTGTCCTGACGGGACTTAGAGGTCCCAAAACTTTTAACCTCTCAGTAAATTACGATATGCTCGCTATGATGCTGTTGTCCTGACGGAACTCTGAAACACACATTTTATAAGGTATGTATGTGACCAACAATACATTATTATTACGGACAGATTGAATTTGTAAACACAGCCGTTAGTGTGTTATGGCAGTCGAGTCGTGAATGTGTAGTGCGAGTTTTTTTATTAATTACATAAAACAAAAGACATAGTAAATTCGGGTTTGTTTAAAATTTTAATTATTGAGGTTTTATGTAACTAAACAACGATTTGTTTGTTCACTACGTACATAGGCGTTCCATAGGGTAGCTATTCTCATCCAGGACTCCTAAGTCCCGCCAGGGAATAGACGCATATTAATAAGGTAACTGTTGTACATATATATTCATTACTTTTGGGTGAATCTATTTTAGGTATTTGTTTATCCGGATACAGATGTCTGACTGGAGATTTAGAAAAATTTTAAATGCAGCTGCAGCTGAAATAGCTGCGTTTGAAATCTGCCGCTTGATAATGACATTATTACAGACGAAGAATACAGCAAAAATGAGGTCGAAAAGACAAGCATGTGCTTAGTGGATGATGTAGAGGAAGCAGTAGAAGAGGAATTAGACGAGGCAGTGGAGGAAGAAGTAGAGGAAGCAGTAGATACCGCAGTTGAAGACGCAGAATTGGATTTTCAGCCCGAACCATAAAATAAAGAACAAGTACGTCAAACCTCTGTAGGACAAAAACGAAAGCTAGCAAGCAATGCAAGAAAATCTAAAAACAAAACGAAAAAAAGCTATGGAGGCAAAAAGTGGAAAAAAAGGAAAGCGTCAAAAATATTCCTGAGTACGACGGCGACGAAAACCCGAAAGAAGATCTTTTTGTCGACTGCAACACATATACTGATTTTTTTTTAAAGTTTTGGAACCCAACACCATAAAAGACATTTTATATCATTCAAATTTGTACGCAACTCAACGAGAAAAAAATATGAAGAAAATGAACTCCTAGCTTTCCTTGGAATTAACTTTTTAATGGGATACCACAAGCTGTCAAGCTACAAAAATTATTGGTGTTATTCTGAAGATCTAGGACTTTTAGTTGTTAAATGAACAATGCTGAGAACCCGGTTTGAGCAGTTTTTAGAATATCTTCATGTGAATGACAATGCATCCATTCCTGTTGATAATAAAGATAAAATTTATAAAATAAGGCCTTTTGTGAAAGCCCTGAATGAACAATTTGACTTATTGGACAATGGAACCAGAAAGTTGACGAAAGCATGATAATTTTCAAAGGAAGGTCATCTTTGAAACAGTATAATCCGAAAAAGCCAATTAAGAGAGGATACAAGCTTTGGTGTATAGCTGATCAAAAGGAATATATAAAGAAGTTTGAAGTTTACCAGGGTAAAAATGAGGTGGCTGAAGAGAAGTTTCAGGGATTTGGATTAGGGGAGAGGGTGGTTTTGACTTTGACCGAGAATTACTGGAACACGAACAGAATTGTATATTTTGATAATTACTTTACATCGGTAGCTCTTCTGGAAAAACTGAAAATGCAAAAAACGCTGGCATGTGGAACTGTTCAACGGGATAGATTAGGACTACCATCCAATATGACTAGAAAGTATGAAGTGGGACGATTTTGACTATAGGGTATATATAGTATGGATTTGTCATTTTTCAAATGGTGTGACAATCGAATGATGCATTTTCTCTCTAACTTCCATGGTACAGAAATGAGTAAAGTTAAACGCCTTCAAAAAGACGGTACCGCAAAATATATAGACTGTCCTCAGATAGTCAATGATTATAATGTCCATATGGGGGGCGTAGATCTCGCGGATCGACTTCGACAGGCTTACTGTATAGATAGACGCTCAAAGAAATGGTGGCACCGTTTATTTTTTGGAATACTTAATATAGCATTCGTGAATAGCTATGTGCTTTATAAAAAAGTTCACCCAGAGGACAAAATCACGCTGCTGGAATTTAGAAGAGGGGTTGCTCAAGGGCTAATGAGCTACAGCAACTACTCTATAATACAAAAGAAATCTTCAAGCAACCGCAATACCAATAGCCCTAGAAATAGCCCTCGAAATACGCCTTCTGGAACTTCAACAACCACTGTACCAAAACGTAGAAAATACAATTACAGCGTGTCAAACGATGTTAGATTGGGAAATCAAGGAGGCCACTGGCCAGTTTTCACTTCCAAAAGAGGACGAATGCGAGCAATGCTCGTCAATTGCAGTAGAATCCAGATCACATTCGCAGTTTTTAAATTGTAAGGTATATTTGTGCGTTAAAGAAAAAAAAATTGTTTTAACATATATCATGAGATTTTTTTTACAATTTACATTATGCCTTTTTTACCTTGACGGAACTTACAAGTCCCGGCTCCAAATTTTTAGGAGGGGGGAGGGGCACAAACATTTATAAAAAAAAATTAATTTGACCTACATAGGTGCCTCTAACTGATATATCAAACTTATTTCTTAAATTTCTAAAAAAATATTTATCTGGGACATAAAGGGTTAATCCTATAACATAAATGATGTCTCGAAAGATTTCTTTGTTAGAGTATTTTATGTAATTTATTTTCTTTACATTATTAATAATGTTGTTATTATATGTTCCTACTTACTTCTTCTCCAAAACAAAGTAGCAATCATCGAAATCAAAAAAGTCAATGACAGCATTATTGGAACTAGAACTTTAGCGTTGGCGTAAAATGGCTGGTCCCCAGAATGTGAAACAGGTGGTATCAATTCAGGTTTATCTAATAAAAATAGATACAAATTAATATTTGGTAACAAAATTAAAGAAATATGTTGTATTATTAAAAAGTGTAGCTTACCACCTAAGGGTGTTAAAGTAGTAAAGTTGTAAAGAGCTTCGGTATCTCCAGCATTGTTATGGGCAGTAATTTTTAGCTGGTATTCAGTTGCCGGAAGTAAGTCAGTAATACTGTATATTCTTTCAGTAGGCTTGACGTGATTAGATGAAGTTGTCCATGAAGAGTATCTTGATGACCGATATTCTATAACGAAATAAAGAATTCCACATCCACCATCTCCCCAAGAATCTAACCACACAGTCACTACTGTTGAATTCATTGTGAGCATTTGCGATTGCTTAGGTTGAATAGGTACTAGAAGAAAAGTACGATAAATAAATAGAATAATATTTAAAAAATGTATATAAATAGGAAGAAATATGTGCATTTACCAGTGCCTTTAGTTTGGGCTGATACTATATCACAGGGTAAACCTGTACCAATTCTATTAAATGCAGTTATATATAAGAGGTATTTTGTACCGCACCAAAGATTTCTTAGCATATGTTCATCAGTTCTTGCAGAAATTTGCAATTCTTCCCAGTCACCATGATTTCTCTTGTAATTAATTACATAACCTAAAAAAAAGTTGACGGAAAAATTAGACTAAAACATAAGGAAAAAAGTTCGTTTAAACTGGTTAAAAGTTAAAGGTAAAAGTAAGTAGTAAAAAACACCAAATCGTTTAGTTTTGAAGAATTACCTAAAATAGGAGACCCGCCATTTCCTTGATCACTCCAACGTAACAACAAAGTATCAGTAAAAGACTCCATAACAGTCAACACTGGAGCTTCTGGTGGTACTAAAACTTTTAAACTATACACTATTTCGTCATGCCCATATTGGTTCTCTACACTACAAGAATAATTCGCTTGATCAACACTTTGAATGTCCTTTACTACTAACGTTGCATTGGAAAGTATTGATCTGCGACCTCCTACTTCAAGAGGAAGATCATTCAGTCTCCAGTTTACGCTTGGCAAAGGAATTCCCACTCGGCGGCAATGCAAGTAGATGTCTTGTTTCCAAGCGCTGATTACCTCTCTGCCAAAAGAAGCTATTCGGGCAGGTACCGTTTTAGAAGGAGTTACTGTGACTACCCTAGTACTCTCTCCGTCTCCTATCTGCAACATAAATTAAATATTTTTTTAGGAACACATTTTATTTAACAATCTATCAATTATTTAATTTAACATTCATTTTTTACCCTAGTTGATGCGGTAACCCAAAATTGAAGTGTAGCTGTTTCTTGAGTTCTCAAGACTTCATGCATTTCCGTTGTTGGATTTAACGCTCTCTTATGCGTACCTTCTTCTTGACCATCTTCCACAATACTCATATAAAAAGTGTAACCTGTTAAGGGACCGTTACTATACTTAGGTGGTAACCATGACACAAGAATTTTATTGGGAGCACTTTGAACTGCCTTAATTTGAGCAGGTGCGGAAGGCACTGAAACATAATAAGATTAGTGAATAGTAAAATACAGACTATCAAAATTGTTTACCATCTTCTTCAGTCTGGCAGTAAACGGGCGTAGATCTTACTCCATCTCCACTCGTTGTATATGCTAGAACTGTCATACTGTAATTTGTATATTTTCTCAAACCAGAAATCGTTGTTCTCAATTGATTAACAATTTTAGTTTGTTGGTCTTCGTTGTCTAAAATTAAATTTATTAACACATAGTAATATAACAATAATTTGGCTTTTCTTACCAAACCATTCACCAACAGAATGATAAGTTACTTTGTACCCTTGAATGATTCCATTTTGGCCCTCGACTAAAGGAGGTTCCCATGATATGTGCAAACTTTGAGCATTTAATACGGAACATTGAACATTTTCAGGAGGTAAAGTGGGTGAATCTTCTAGTGTTCTTGCAGTTACTGCTTCACTAGCAGGACCTGAACCTCTACTATTATAAGCCTAAAATTATTAATGTCAATATAATTAAAAAACAAGATTCTGGCGTTGTTGTATTTATAAATAGTTATCAAGAAAAAATAAAAAAATATGTCTATTAATAATATTTTCCATTGTTTTTCAGAATAATGTATTAGTTTTTAAATAGTTACAATGAGTTACAATAATAAATAAGTTACAATAAAGAAAAGCAATTATATAATAACAAGCACCTAGGTGAGAACACCTGTATGTGCTAACAAAAATTAAAATTTTATTTTAATTATATTTAAGAAATATATTTAAGAAATAAAAAAAACATTTTTTTTAATTAAAAAATAAAACTTATACAATTTATGCAAGACACAGAAAAACTATTTAAAAAAAACCATGTATTAAGTCCGTTATTCTTGGAATATTCTGATAAATTTTGCATTATTTTGGAAAATGTATATTTTGCTAACTGTACAGAACTTTTTGTATTTGTTTAATATTTTATATGAAGAGGTAGAGCGTTATAGAACTTTGTCCCTAGATAATTTACACTATTTTTAAAAAACTCACTATTTGGTTTTGGTACTTAATGCACATGTTTGATGCAGTTCTAGTGTTATGTCTATGTTCTAAAGGGTTTTTTAAAAATTAATTTTTTTTGTATATAACAACACACTGCGTTAATATATAAACATCTAACATTGCTAGTTTTTTCATTATATAAAGTTATATATTATATATATTAACTTCAAGATTTTGTTTTGAATAACATTTAACTGATTTAATGTAGTTCCATACAGGCCTCCCCATACTCAGATTCCATACCATAGTATAGATTCTACTAGACTGTAGTATAATGTTATTAGTAGATCCTGGTTGAGAAATTGTTTTAGAAGATAAAATTTATAAATCAAAAATCTAAGTTTTTTGCTATATATATTATATGACAGTCCCATTTTAAGTGCTAAATATTTGAATGTTTCTGTTTCCTGTATGTCTAAATTTTAACATGTTAAGCTTCTAAAGGTCGATCAGTCACTGTCTTTGAAAAAGCAATGTAGTTTATTTTGTTAACAGTCAAAGACAATTTAAAAACATCCAGCCAGTTTTTGACATGTTCCATTCCAGCTATAGCACATGTCTTGATGGCTTCCCAATCTTTATCACTGAAGACTAGCACTGTATCATCAGCATATGATACAACTTTACCTTGAATATCAATCTGAGTTAAGCTCTTAATGTACAAATTAAATAATATAGGTCCCAGAACAGTCCCTTGAGGCACTCCGATTTGTATATTTTCAGGGTTATTCATATTGGTTTTGGTACTTAATGCACATGTTTGATGCAGTTCTAGTGTTATGTCTATGTTCTAAAGGGTTTTTTAAAAAATTAATTTTTTTTTGTATATAACAACACACTGCGTTAATATATAAACATCTAACATTGCTAATTTTTTTATTATATAAAGTTATATATTATATATATTAACTTCAAGATTTTGTTTTGAATAACATTTAACTGATTTAATGTAGTTCCATACAGGCCTCCCCATACTAAGATTCCATACCATAGTATAGATTCTACTAGACTGTAGTATAATGTTATTAGTAGATCCTGGTTGAGAAATTGTTTTAGAAGATAAAATTTATAAATCAGAAATCTAAGTTTTTTGCTATATATATATTAGGGTGATTCATTTCCGCAAAGTTTTTTTTTTTCGGTGCTCAAGCAAAATATTAATCTACATATAAAGAAACAAAAATCTCACAAAGTTTGAGCTCTTAATATTAATTTTAAGTACTTACTATTTAAATTTAAATTTTTGCCATTTAAAATGCATGTAAAAAAAATTTTTATTTTTTAAATTTCTAATACTTATCCACCTTTTACAATAATGCAAATCGGTTTGATGGACCTTGTAGGGAATTTCATGGCTCTTCGAAAATGCTTCAGTGTCTTTTTATGTAACTCGCACTGGTTTACCAGTAGGAGTCGTCAGAGTACAGTTTTTCAAAAAAAAAACCTTTTTTTAAATTTTTTCGAGCAAACCGCCAAAAGTAGGGAGAAAAAAAGCGCTGACTCATAAAAAAAAGTTATCCGACCAATATTTAATGAATTTACAGCCATTTTTATACCTGAAAACGTAAGAAATTGATAAATACTAACTCATAATGTTATTTAGATTATTTTTTTTTATTGATTACCATTATATTTCCCTACACTAAGAACTTTTTTAGAATTATTATGATTTCTTACGTATAATGAATATAATTTCGAAAAGCGTGAAATTTCCCACAAGGGCCATCAAACCGATTTGCAATATTGTAAAAGATGGGTCAGCATTAGAAATTTAAAAAAAAAATATTTTTTTTTACATGCATTTTATATGGTAAAACTTTAAATTTAAATAGTAAGTACTTAAAATTGATATTAAGAGCTCAAACTTGGTGAGAATTTCTTTTTCTATATGTAGATTAATATTTTGCTTGAGCACCAAAAAAAAAACAACATTTTTCGGAACTGAATCATCCTAATATATATATTATATGACAGTCCCATTTTAAGTGCTAAATATTTGAATGTTTCTGTTTCCTGTATGTCTAAATTTTGAAATGTTAAACTTCTAAAGGTCGATCAGCTACTGTCTTTGAAAAAGCAATGTAGTTTATTTTGTTAACAGTCAAAGACAATTTAAAAACATCCAGCCAGTTTTTGACATGTTCCATTCCAGCTATAGCACGTGTCTTGACGGCTTCCCAATCTTTATCACTGAAGACTAGCACTGTATCATCAGCATATGATACAACTTTATTATTTTATTATTATAATAGTCATTTTTAATTTTTAATATTAGTTTGTTTAAATTATTTATAAATGTTTTATAGTGAGTTTGTTTGTTAATAGTACAGTTTTTTTGTAGATCTTTTTTAAGTTTATCCCTAGTTTTAAAAGAATTAATTAAACCATTTGTTATCCATGACTTTATTTTTTTATGGATTTTAATTTTAATATTTTGAATGGTTTGACATGTTTCAATGATATTAAGATACGTGTCATAAAATAATTGTGTTACAATTTTTGGATTATTTTCATTGCAAACACTTTCCCAGTTTACACTTTCGAATTTTTATTTTAATTTATCAGTATCGATTTTAGTTTTATATGTATTGTAGGAACTTGTGTAGTTTTTGGCAGATTGTGAGATATGTATCATAATAGGATCATGACCAGTCATATCATAGCTGATTACATAAGAGTTCACCGATAGATTTTCAGTTTTAATATTGTTTTTGAAGAATATATGATCCAAGCATGTTTTACTTTGTGGCCTCGTAATAGTGTTTATGTAAGACATGAAACCATGGGAGTAAAAAGTTGCTTGCTAATCAGTAGTTACTTGATTGGTTACATTTAGGAGATCAATATTAATGTCCCTTATGAATATTTCAATATTTCTATTTAGGTGATTTGGTATGAAATTTTCTAAATCCCTTATAAATGCCTGTGCAGAGGTTTGTTGAGACCAGTATACACCTGTAACGCCAATGGTCCGATGATTGACTTTTAGATTTATTTTAATGACACAAATATCAGAATATTCCAGTTTAACTATATTTAATTCTGCATTTAGATTTGACCTGACCAAATAACAACACTGTCATTTCTGTTAATGTTACCATTGTTATAGTGGGTGGTGAAGCCATCTAGGTTAAATTGAGAAATAGATTCTAATTGTAAACATTCAGTCAAAACTATTATATCACAACAATTAATTTTATAAGTTTCTAGAAATACTAACAACTCATCAGAATTCTTTTTAATACTCCTAATATTGAAATATAAGACATTAAGGAGTTTTTCATTTAAATTAATTTTATTTGTTATATTAGCAGCATCAACGACTTCATTAATCGAATCAATTTGAATAGAAATTAATAGATTTTATTCTTTGGACACAAGCTAGCTTCATGTTCTTCATTACATATGTGGCACACGATTGCATTCTTACAGTTTTCTTTTTTATGGTAGAAACCGGAAGTCTTTCCCATCCTATACATATTTTTTTCCTTTGTATCAATTATTTAAATGCAGTTCCTGAACATTCATATTATACAGCATTGAAGCCTTTTTTCGTTTTTCTGATATATGTAGTTTTTATTTCACCTGTTATGTCATTCCTTTTCACAATGGACTTATCAATTTCTTTCTTGGTCATATTCTCCGTAAAATTGTAGATTTTCATTCTGGGTCTTCTCATTTTTGTCAGATCTACATCATATACATCTTTTAATTTATCTTGAACAGCTTTTTCCAGAATTTCAGCTTCTTTTTTTGTTTGACAGGAAAGTATAACGGAACCATTCTTTCCCATCTTTAATTGTTTTACTCCAACTTTTAAGTCAGTTAGATTAATATTTTTTCCTAAATCTGTTTTTGTTTTGTTTCCACTCTGTGGGATTTTCGGTTTAATAATAATTTTTGGAGGGTTGGGTTTTCGTTGTATTCTTTTTGTAACTTCAGAAATGGTAGGTACAATATTTATCTCTTTTTCTTGAAGCATTTTTATTATTTAATTTTTACTATTCATTATTTCATCTTTACTTCTTATTATTTCATCCTTATCTTTATTAGTCTTCTTTAGAAAATCAGTCAGTTCATAATTCCTACATTTTGCACAATTAAATTTCAGAATTTTAGTGCGTAGTGGTATGCACTTAATTTCTGTGGTTGATAATTCATAACATTGGTTGCAGTATAATCTTCTACATCCATCACATGTAGAGCATGGATATTTTTGTTCTTTTTTAGGCTAATGAATAATCTCACATTGCCATTTTTCTTATTAAATCATTTTCTTATTTTATAAACTAAATGTGGGTACGCCACTGGATATTCTATTTGTATGATTGCTTAGTAGAAAGTATTGGTGTTTATTTTATTTCACCTAAACTTTTTTGTCATCTGATAAGGTTTGGTAATTTTTTGCGTTTTTTGTTTTCTTGGTAGATTTTATTTCGGTGAAATTGCAGAGATAATGCATTAATCTATGCAACTGTGACTCACCTAAACAGTTTATTTACTACACTATAGTACTATCACATTTTATTTAATTCACTAGTTGTTTTTTTTAACATTATATAGTTTATATCGGTAGAAATATAGATTTATTTGCGCATTTAAACGAACACGTCTTCTCACCTTGAATGATAAATAATAAATCTTTCGATACTTACTTGGACGATTATGTTATAGGTTGTAAATTTGGCTAGTCCTTGAAGTGTTGCTTCTCCTCCAAAATGAGGTCGAACTTCCACACTTTTAAATATGTAGTTTTGAGCAATATTGTTAGTTTCGTCACTTGTATATTCTTGATATCCGACGTGGTACCCAAGAAGATTCCCATTCCAACTTTCTCTAGGTGGAGGCTCCCAGGTTACTACAATTTCCGTCGAGCTTTTAGGTTCTGCCCTAATATCTAGAGGTGCTCCGCTTGGAACTACAAAATTAAGTTTAATAAATAATTCACATTAGGATTATCTAACGAGTAATTACCTTCCTCAAGAGTATTGACTTGTACAGTTTGGCTAGGATCGCTTAAACCTAATCGATTTTCAGCTACTATTCTTATGTGATAAACTTGTGCAGGATGGAGATTTGGAAGAGTTGTTGTAGTTTGTGAACCAGGTACAGTCACTTTCATGGGTTGACTTGGCCAGACCTCTGAAATAAATTGGTTAGACCAAAGGGACATTAGATGTATTTTATACAAAATAGTTGAAGACAATTACTCACCAGATCCTGGTTTATATTGAACAATGTAATTAAGAATAGGACTATTTCCGGCATACGGTTGAGTCCAAGATACTCCAATCGATCTGGAAAGTTGATCCATAACTCTGACATTTCTTGGAGGCTCTGAAACTTCTTGAACAATTAACTGGATATTCATATCATCACTACCGTACGCGTTGCTAGCAGAACAAATAAATATGCCAGTATCTTGTCTTATAGTTCTCTCTATCCCTAATTCAGAAACCATTCCTTCAGCTAGAACTTGTTCACGAACATTGTATCTAAAACGATAAAACATTATAAGAAATAAATATAAAAAGTATTCAGTACAACCAGTAATTTTAAAACAGAGCCGCTTTTATACGCATCAGATGGTTTGAAATGGATAAAATATTTAAAAGGTACCTACCTCTGATCTCCATCTTTCGATATGTGCTGCCCTCCAACTTTCCAGGTTATTTCCATGGGAGTATCACCAAGAGCAGAACATTGCATATGAGCTTGTTCACCTTTAACCACTTGTATTTGCTTTGATTTTTGGGCAAAATATGCTGGTGCTATTAAAAATAAATGTATCATATAATATTTAGGATTAATAAAATAATAATATTGATTATTATGTTTGAAAAATATTGGCCAAAAGAAATTATATAGGCACGTTGCCACAGAACTACTCATATAAATATTTTGCTTTATTAAATAACCTTTACCGTTAACTCTTAAGTATATAACTTTGCTAACTCCTCCTCCAATATTATTTTTTGCTTCACAAAGATAATGGCCTTCATTTTCCTTGGATATATGCACGAAATTTAACGAACCATTTTGGAACTGTTGAACGTTAGGCTCGAAGAGGAAGTCTTTGTATTCACCAGGTTGTTCACCTACAAATAAATATGAAAATTTTACCAGGTGATAACTGGAGATAAGAATAAAAGCTAGTCAATGGGACAGAAGACTTAAAATGCAATAAAGTTGAGATAATATATTATATTAATTTGAAAGATATAATGACATAGTTGTTGTGAAATGGAGTACAGTATTAAAATTAAAATATTTAATTTCATTACTAACCGACAGCTTTCTTCCAAGTGATTACCGGATTGGGATAACCTTCTGACTGGCAATGGATTATAGCTTCTTGTGCAGCAGCAACACTTGCATCAGATGGTTCTACTGTCCATCTGGGAGGCACTGAAAATATTTTAATTTTATTAGTACTACCGAAATTCTATTTTTATATAATCAACCTTCCCTTCTTTGATATAAACTTTTAATAATAATCATACAAAAAATTATAATAGAAAAGATTTGAGATCGACTGACCAAATAAAACTCCCACTACGCAAACAATAGATACCCATTAAAAAAAAATGTCTGGAAATGTCATTACCCGTCAAGAATATTCTAAATGACAGTTGATGATCCTGACGTCAGTTTTTAGTTTTATGATAGACGTTACATGTTAATGTTATCAGTTGTATAACTTCTGTTAAAGTTGAGTTGAAATAAATTGTGATATCAAAAACCAGCGTAACATTGGTGACAGCGGTGGGATTTATAAAAGAAAAGTTACCCATGCATTATATTCATGGTAAATACTATAGATCCACTACGCACGAAACAGATATGGATACTTCAGGCCCACCAGCATGGTTTTTGAAGATGAAAGAGGAGAGAGAAATACGAGAAAAGGAAAGGGAAAGGCGGGAGGAGGTATAGGAAAGGCGTAGAAATGAAGAAGAGGAGGAAAAGGCGATGCGCTGGAAGGAAGAAGAGGAGGAAAAGAAAAGGCGTAGAAAGGAAGAAGAGAGGATGAGGAAAAAGAGAAGGAAGAGAGGCATTAAAAAGCTCACGTAGAAATTATGAATGCATTGTTACAAATCCAGGAAACCTTCAAGAAAGAGATTGGTCAGCTCAAAATTAGAGTATATCTTTTAGAGCAACAAGAAGAGCATTTAAAAACTAATTTAGAACAGCAGCAAGAGCATTTAACAAATTAATTTAGAACAACAACGAGATAATTTAAAACAACTGGAAAAGGCTAGAGTAGAGTTCGAAAAGCAAATTAGAACTGAACTTGTTGAGCTAGAAAGAATAATTCGTAGCCTATCTTCAATAAACAACAAAGAAGCTGAAAACACTATCTCGTCTTCATCTGTAATCGAACCAAGCCATATTCAGCACCCAGTTTCACAAATTGTTGAAATTGTCACACTCTGTAGATTGGAATTGGGATGTCATCTAGTTAACATGTTTTTAGAGTGACTTTGATTAATCAACTTTGAATTTTGATTTTGGATTTTGTCAAACATTTTTTATTTTGTAAAATAAACATAGTTCTCTTCAATATCGCCTGATTTATTTATCGATTAATAAGGTACCATCGGGTAGATCGTATCCTTATTATAACATTATGGCGACCGTGACAGGACGGATTTTGGAGAAGAACCAGAGACTCTTGGAGATCCACCGAGTATCATTTGAAAGGATTTACAATGAGATTTTGAAAAATGTGAGAAGCTCTGATGCTGACTTCAGTGATATACAAGGCGATATGTTACTCTTACAACAAAAAGTTGAAAGCATTACTGAAATACATAAAATATTCCTTGATTTATTACTGGATTCTGAATGTACTGAGGAGGATATTGATGCTGCTGTAGCCGTAAATGATGATATTATCAGCCGTTACAATAAACTCAAATGCAAAGTAGAACAACAAGTTCAAAGAAATACATTCGGCGAAAATTGTTCAAGAGCAACTCATTCAGGTTTATCCAATTCAAGATTAAGATTACCTCGCATAGAGTTTAAGAAGTTTGGAGGTCACGTCAAAGATTGGTTAAGATTTTGGGGACAATTCAAAAGAATTGATGAAGATGAAACGATAGCCCTAGAAGACAAATTCCAATATTTAGTAGAAGCTACCATACCGAAATCTCGAGCCCGTAATTTAGTAGAAGGATATCCTTCGACTGCTCAAAATTATTCCAAGGCATTAGAAAGTTTAAAATCTCGTTTTGGAAGAGAAGATTTGCTTGTGGAATTTTATGTTCGGGAACTATTGAAACTAGTATTAACCAACTTGCAAAATAAAACCAATCTAAGTAGTTTATTTGATGATCTTGAATCACAGTTACGAGCGTTAGAAACTTTAGGCGTAACATCAGAAAAATACGCAGCTATGTTATTTCCTCTGGTGGAATCATCTTTACCTGAAGACATTCTGCGTGTTTGGAAACGATCTCTACCCACAGATGACGATGATATAGCCTCAGAAGTAATCTCTGTTCAAAGCCGACTTAAGAAATTAATGAACTTTTTAAGAAAGGAGGTAACGGATGAAGAGAAGATATCTATGGCGCTTTCTGGATTTGATCTTAAAACTAAGAAAAAGGATGTTAAAGAAACTTGCATTTCTATCCCTACTACTTCTGGATTAGTCAACCATAAATCAACACTAACTAAATGTAATTTTTGTAAGAATGATCATTCCTCCAATGAATGCGATAAAGCTTTAAAAATGGATCTTTCTGAAAAGAAAAAAATTTTGTCCTCAAAGGGATGTTGTCATATCTGTCTAAAATTCGGCCACATTGCTCGAAGGTGTAAAGTTCGTTTAGAATGTTCTAGTTGCAAAAAAAGACATGCTACTGTTATGTGTCCTAATAAAGAGACTATTTCTGAAACAGATACCGTCCCGAAAAATATAGAAAACAGCTCTAACGTAGAAAACTTAAGCAATTTAACTTACAATGAAGTATTTCTTCAAACACTCGTTGTTGATCTATGTAATGGAAATTATTCGAAACGTGTTAGAGTTATTATAGACACTGGATCGCAAAGATCATATATAAATAAATTTTCCGCTAACGAAATGGGTTTTGAACCAGTTGGAGAAGAAAACTTAGTTCATGCATTGTTTGGTGGTTCTGAAACCGAAACTGTTTTGCATCATTGTTACCGAATTAAATTGGCCAACTTAAACAACAATTATGCATGTAATCTACAGGTACTTGATCAACCTATAATTTGCAATAATATAGTTTCTATCAAAGGTGGTCCTTGGTTGAAAGAACTCGAGGAACTGAAAATTAATGTCTCTGATAGAATTGATGGTCCAATAGAAGTACTTATTGGTGCTGATGTGGCGGGAAAAATATTTACTGGGAGAAGACATGTTTTAAAATGCGGCCTTGTTGCAATGGAAACTCGTTTAGGATGGACTTTAATGGGAAAAGCTGAAATTAAACATTCATCGAATTCCAACTTAAATCTGTCAGCAATGTTAACAACAACTTCTTTACTAAGTCATTGTTTGGATATTTCAGATTTATGGAAACTTGATATTTTAGGGATTGGTGACCCTAAAGATGTTAGTAACAAAACAGAAAAAGAAAATGAAATAATGAATCATTTCCTAGACACTGTTTGTATTAACAAGGAAGGTAGATATGAAGTTAGTCTTCCTTGGATTGATGATCATCCTCCTTTACCGACTCTTTTAGAAATGTCTAAAAAAAGACTAGATAATTTGATGGTAAAACTTGAAAAGGATGGATATTATACAGAATACAACAGAGTTTTTTCTGAATGGTTGGAAGAAGGAGTTATTGAGTACGTTCCTGAAAACGAGATCGATAATGGTAGACGCTATTTGCCCCATCGACATGTAATAAAATTGAGTAGTACTACAAAACTTCGACCTGTTTTTGACGCTTCTGCTCATGAAAAAAAGAGCCCATCTTTAAACCAATGCCTAGAAAAGGGTATAAATTTTATTGAACTTATTCCAGCTACAATATTCCGATTTAGAATGTGCAAATTAGGAGTTATTTCCGATATCAAAAGAGCCTTTCTTCAAATTAGTATTAAACCAGCCGATAGAGATTTTCTACGTTTTCTGTGGTATGATGAAAATCGATCCTTAAAATATTTTCGTCATGCTAGAGTTGTTTTTGGTCTTTCTTGTAGTCCATTTCATTTGGGTGTTGTTATCCACTACCACCTTACCAATATTTTACACAAAATTTCTTCAGGAAACTCTCCTTACTCTGAAATCTTTATTTCGAAGCTTTTAAAAGGGTTTTATGTTGATAATTGTGTCGTCAGTCTTGATTCAGAAGAAGATCTCCAAGAATTTATTCACCAAGCCAGAGAGGTGATGAATGAAGGCAAATTTGATTTACGTGGATGGGAATATACAATGACTGGTAACGAGAACCAGTTTAACGAATATACTTTATCAAATGTTTTGGGTTTAATATGGAATAGACAAGAAGACACACTAGGATTGTGTTTTGAGTGGTTTCGAGGTATAAATTTATCTAAAATAACAAAACGAACTATACTATCCATTACTAACAAAATTTTTGACCCTATTGGTTTCTGTTCTCCTATAACATTGTTTATTAAGATTATTCTACAAAAACTATGGGTTTCCAAAATTTCATGGGACTCTGAAGTTCCTCAAGATATTCTGAATATTTTCTTAAAATGGGTTCATGAGTTAAATGTTTTGGTTGATCTGAAAATTCCAAGATGGTTCTTTAAAAATAATAAAGCTAAATCGAAAGATTGGAGTCTACATATGTTTGCTGATGCTTCCAAAGATGCTTATGCTGCTGTAGTTTTTTTGAAATCAGATCAACAAATTCAACTTGTTCAGGCCAAATCAAGAGTTTCTCCCTTGAAGAAGATATCAATTCCTCGTCTAGAATTATTAGCAGCCAATATCGGGGCTAGATTACTATATTCGATCCTAGAGATACTAGAAGATAGAGATATACCAATCTTTTGTTGGTCTGATTCTAGTACTGTTTTATCTTGGATCAAAAGAGAGGATCGGTGGAAGACATTTGTTTGGAACAGAGTTCAAGAGATCCGAAGTCTTAGCAGGATAGAAGACTGGTATTTTGTACCTGGTTACCTAAACCCTGCTGATCTGCCTTCCAGGGGATGTTCTCCTCGCCATCTGTTAAAATCGAAGTGGTGGGAGGGACCCTCGTGGTTGTTAGAAGACAGAAGTGAATGGCCCTCTCAAAATTTTGTAACAAATGAAGATACAATTTCAGAGGAGAAGAACAGAACCGTCGTCTCTACACTAAATACTGGGAGAGATTTTAGTTGGTATTACAATTATTTTTCCAAATATAGAAGTATTGTAAGATTAATTGGTTGGATTAGACGAT